GGGTTGTGTATTTTGGTTGCTAGTTGTATATTAAGCCACGTATATTATAAATTGTGGTCAGGTAATCTTTTGTCACGTATATATTGTAACAATTCGGAAATTGTGGCCACCTGCATTTTTAGCCGTGTACATATTGAGGCCAGGTACATCTTTAGCCATACATATAGTATTGTAGCCAAGTTTTTCTTTGGCCAGGTACATAATATTGTAGCCAGGTATATCTTTGGTAAAGTACATATTACCGCCAGGTAAATCTTTGTCCGTGTTCATATTGTAGTTTTTGCGTAAAATCATTTCTTTTTGGCATCCGCATTCTTACCTAATATATATTTTTTTTTTTTTCTGGTACCCTGCCCAATTTTATCATCTTTCCTAATATTATTGATGGTGGCATGGAAATACACATTGTTGTGACTTACTATGTGGAGTTTAGTTATTTTTCTGTTCTGGATTCGCCTGCATTTGGCCGGGTAGTGCTGCTATACTATGTTCATTTTTAACCCTATACTGTCCATACTTCGTGTTTTACTATCGTATCCATACAACGTGGGAAACTCTGTGCCCGCTACTTTCCAAAGAGGAAATTTACTCGTTAATCTGATCCGTAGGCTTGGCATAGCAGTCTGCCAAAATGATTTTTTTAGAAATACTGAAAGTTTCAAAGCGATCTTCGCACTAGAAGTATTCTAAGATAAAAGAATACAACCCCTGGGGTTCCAAATGACCCCAGGTGTAGGGATAGTGTTAATTTGCAGCAGTCAGCTCAGTGGCGTCGGTGGCCTTGTGGTTAGGCTACCAGACCTGTAACCGTGAGGTTGCAGGTTTGGGGGTCCGTCGTTGTGTCCTTGGGAAAAGCACTTTACACTAAATTTCTCATTTGGATTGGTCTTTTCAGAGATGGACGTTAAATTCGGAGGTCCCACATCTGAAATAATTTACTAGTGTTGATAGAGGTGTTTAATCTTTACCATTTCACCATTTGCAGTCAGCTCTGCAAGTTTTCTTTTTTTTTTTTTTTCAGCCCAAGTTTCAATGTCTCTTTTCTTTTTCTTCCTCACACATTTCTTGTAGGTGGTTGGCGGGTGCTCTGGTGTGGTTTGCTTCTTCTTACCTATCAAACATCTATCATCCTTATGTCCCCTTCTTCTTTTTTGTTTGTTACTCTCTTGTAACACCTCTAATCTTCTGACGCTCATATGACCTTATGCAGTTGCAAGCGCCGTAAAAACCTCTACTAAGACTAAACACATTTCTTTCTTAGGAGGGCTGTGAGACAGTCATCTGATTTTGGTCATTGGGTAGTTGGCAGGTCTCCTTGAAGAAGGGCCTGTGTAACGTGCTTCAAATCATGTATGTTGCATCGAGGTGAAATTGAAATCAAACACTCTACAAAGATGATGAAATCTAAAAAAATTCACATTTTTCTGCCTGTTGAACAATTATTACTCCCCCCC